TATTTAATATTCTTTTTACTCGATAAGAATTCTGTAATTTCGCATGAGGGAAACTATAATAAATTCAATTTATGCAATAATTTAAACTGAAAAAAAAAATAAAAAATTCTTTGTAATGTCATCATTAAATCAGAAGCCTTCGGCCTACGTTGCGTATGAGTAACATTAACACAATTTTCATTTTTTTTTTGTCCTGTCCTCACAATAAAATTTCCTTTCAAATATGTACGTTGTCACATTTCTTTGTGGAGAGCTCAGTTAAAGTTTATTTTTTTTTTCTTGTGGTTGCCTTACATGCACAACTTTTAATGTAAAATTTAAAAATATTTTTTATTTATTTATTACATTTTCTTGCTGCATTGAAATATAAACTGTTAGGGAAGTTTTTCAACAATAATAATTTATCATTTTATAACCGAAAAGAAAAGTTGCTTTTGCTTTTGCTTTTGTAATTACAATTAAATTAATCTTTGCAACATTTTCTCCCAAAAACTTTATAGAAAACCCTCATAAAATGTAATTTAAAGTTGCTTTTATATATTTTGTGCCCGATGGGAGCATAAACGTAACCATAAGTCGCATATGACCACTGCTGAAATTAACTTTGACTTTAAACTTTGGTTATGCGCACTCATGCAGCAGGAGACCGCAATTGTCGACATTACTTTCGAGATAATTTATCGTCAACATTTGCTTGTCATTATCACCAGCAATTTTGTTGCTTTCTCGACAATAAACTTAACAATTTAACGGCACTTTTGAAAATTTTATATAATACAAAATAATTTTACTTTATTTGTGCCAATTTTTTTTCTTTTTCTTTTTCTTTTTCTTTTTTGTTTTGTTAATATATCATGACCATCACATATACCATACGTTTAAAATGAAAGCAGGCATAGCAATATAACATATGTATTTATATAGGCGTAGCCCAAGGGAGGGACCCGGAACGCTGTTGCAACGCTCTATAAACATGTGCTAGAAATAATATTTTATTTCTTGATCAAGAGCGGATACATGGCGTAATAGCACTCCTCTTTGAAAAAAAAAATATATTTACAGAAAAGTTTATAAATCTATATTATAATAATAATATAAAAAAAAAATTATTTATACGGTTTACGGTACTTAATTTCGAACGATTGTTTTAGATATCTGGCAGAGATAGCCTTCACGTGTTACCATATCACCCAAGTACAAAATATATATTTAAAACCATATAATAACCATATAATAAATCAAATCCAATTATATTTAGTGCAGTATATAGTATATAGTAATAGTAAATAGTATACAGTATATAGTAATTGTATATAGTAATATAATAATTATTTTTTTTTTCTAATTTGCTTTAAAAAAATGCTATGGTTATGGTTCTAGAAAGTGAGAAGTTAGTTGAAACTAAAAAATTATGGGATTGAACAACGTTATACTTTAACTAAGTAGATAATTATGGTCAACTTTAGTTTGTTCACATGGGAGCTAATGTGTTAGTCCCATGACATATATAATGAATTTTAATACATAATACCTATAATGTAGTACTCGTGGCACTACATTTTCAGTAAAGGGTGCAACTTCAACAACATTTCTTAGGTAGACATTTCTGTTATTGTTTTCTCGTATTTGATAAAAATAAATATATGTTTCACTCAGTGTACACTGTTCTTCTTTCATCTTCGCAAAGTCGCAGGCCCCGCATCTACTAGATCTACTTAAGCACATTTCATGTACAATACTGCTAGGAGATGGTAGATGCCCGAGAGCTTTCACGAGTAGTTATCTATTTAATAGGTTTCTAGGTATCTATATATATTTATATCTATATTTCTATACATCTGTATATATATGTATCTATATATCTCTATAACTATATATCTATATGTCTACATATCTATATATATTTATGTATATATAACTATACATCTTAATATCTATATATATTTATACATCTATATATTTACAGATAGATAGTGAGGTTTGAAGTTAAGAGGTGTTGATTTGGTTTTTCCATTTTAGTCCGTGATTTATAATATTTCATCGCTTTCTTCATGTGAATGAAGTTTTGATGGCGTTGTTTAGATATTTTGTTAATAAGTTTTTCATAAATGGATTTGAAAGTTTTGTTCTTGGCAATCGATGTTTCACTTTCTTCTCAGTCAGGTGATGTAACAGTGACAGGGATGTAATATGCTTGTATTTTCTATATTTATAAATAAATATTTAAATCGCGTATTACTCGAGATATAAGGATGACTCATATATTTTATTTTTGTTATTTTTGTTAGTATATTATTATAGAAAAATTGTCTTATTTTTAAAAATTTACATTGCAAAACTTTAGTTGAGAGTTCCAAGTTATTTTTCGCACTATTATAAAACAAATTAAATTATTAATTATTAAAAGTATTAATTTTTAATTTATTTGAAGTAGCAATCTATTAAATTTAATCAAAATCTATAAAAAAATCAACTTCCTGAGAGAGGCAAGCATGTGTTCTTTCTGATCTATTCAAACTTAAAGACTACATCCACCGATAGTTGAAGCGTTGAAGCGGTGAAGCAAAAAACTGCAAGTTGTTGGGTGAACAGCATAAACTTTGTAACTGAAATTCACATTTTTCTGAGTAATTTACCAGCTGAAGGACTTCGTTCACAGGCATTTGCTGTATGTGTTTATAAGTGTTCAGAAAAATGCGACTCTTTATGTGTGGCTGTGCGAAGCAGATAAGTGTGTAAGTTAAATAGAAATTCTTGCAAAGTTATAAGAATCAAAAACTTTTCACATTAAAATATATTGCAATGGTCCACATGAATAATTTCTTTTTTTTCTACTTAAGTATGATATGCACAACGCATAAGCCTGCGCTTTCCATATTCAATGTGCGTATTACATGTTTTTAGCCAAACCAAAGGACAATGTCGTTTGAATGTCGTTATTTGGCCTAAATATTCTTAACTGCTGCTGCTTAAGTATTTATGTAAATATACGAAACAGTACAATGACAATATAGAGTGCGATTCCGATTCCGACACTACGAATAACCTCACACGCCATCTAGCGACAACTAATAAATGCAAATTTTACATTTTACACCAGTGGCAACAAGTTGATCCAAATAGTTGGAAAGTATTGGAGAACTAAGCTTCATCGATGTATAGGAAAGTGGAAAAAATGCCGTAAAATCAGTGACTCTATTAAAATACGTCAGAAAAAACGAAATAATGTCCAATTTAGATACAAGTAGGTGGTCTTTTAAGTCTTGCGTTTATGCAACACTAAGTATTGCCAGATGAATTGTTACAATTCAAATGTGTTCTTTATATCGGTTCTAAATTTAGTTTCTTATACCATATTATCTAAACGATATTAATTAAATTAAGTTAAAAATATTGAAACAAAATAATCAAGTTAACTTTGAGAAAGGTTAATTGTATAGATAAGATACAACAGTAAACCAGGTTGCATATGACCACTTATAATATTATGACTATTAACTATCAATTTTCGGCAATAATGTATGACCAATGAAGCTTATGAACACTTTTGCTGCAGTTATTTCTTCAAGCCCTTATATATATTATTGTATTATTATGAATATTGGTTTAAATACCAAAGGCTATTTGAGCTTCTCAAAAGCCTACTGTATAAGGTGCATTAATTATTGAAGAAAAAAGGATTTTGAATGAAATACATCTCCTCACAGTTTCGCTGGAAAACGAGTTTTTAATATATAAGAAAATTCTTTATTAAAATTCTTTAGAGCATAAGATCCATAATTGTTTGTCGATTGACTAAATTAAATTTCAACATTTATTTGACAACTTCTACAGATATTTTTTAAGATTACAGTGACTTCATTTATTGCAATATGCTTTTCATTAAAAAATAATTTTTTCTTATCCTCTTTGTATTAAAAATAAGGGTTTATATTTTTCAGGATTGGTTTTTTTTTTTTATTTAATATAGTTAATTTTTCTTATACGAGTTCTAGCTAAATTTTAAATTTATACTTTCTGTATGACTAAAATTATTATATATATATAGATAAAAATGTTTCGTTCAGTATTTTGTAAAAATATTTTGTTAATAATCCAAATAAATATTTGACTGTGAATTGCAAAGTTTTTCATTTCCAATTTGTCCCAAAAAAAAATATATATATTATATCCACTATATATTTGAATTCAAAAAGTTTGTAATTTTCCTCTTTCAATTTGTTCAATTTCAAAAATATTCATCAAATCCAAAATGTGTTTTGAATCAAAAAGTCAAGAATTTTCTGTTGCTAATTTGTCCCAATAAAAGAAATTTACATCAAATCTGAAACATATATGATTGCACAAAGAAAATAATTTTCCATTCTTAATTCATTTGATTAAACAAAAAATGTTCATCAAATCTAAAATGTATTTTGAATCAAAAAGTCAAGAATTTTCTCTTGCTAATTTGTCCCAATAAAAGAAATTTACATCAAATCTGGAATATATATGATTGCACAAAGAAAATAATTTTCCATTCTTAATTTATTTAATTAAAAAATATTTTCATCAAATCTAAAATGTGTTTTGAATCGAAAAGTCAAGAATTTTCTCTTGCTAATTTGTCCCAATAAAAGAAATTTACATCAAATCTGGAATATATATGATTGCACAAAGAAAATAATTTTCCATTCTTAATTTATTTAATTAAAAAATATTTTCATCAAATCCAAAATATATTTCGAACCAAAAAGTCAAGAATTTTCTCTTGCTAATTTGTCCCAATAAAAAAAAACTTACATTAAATCTGGAATATATTCGATTGCACGAAGTAAGTAGTTTTCTATTCTTAATTTATTTAATTAAAATAAAATTTCATCAAATCCAAAATGTATTTTGTACTAAAAAGTAAAGAATTTTCTTTTGCTAATTTGTCCCAATAAAAGAAAGTTTTATTAAATATGGAAGATATTCGATTGCACGAAGTAAATAGTTTTCTACTCTTAATTTATTTAATTAAAAAATATTTTCATCAAATCCAAAATGTATTTTGAATCGAAAAGTCAAGAATTTTCTGTTGCTAATTTGTCCCAATAAAAGAAATTTACATCAAATCTGAAACATATATGATTGCACAAAGAAAATAATTTTCCATTCTTAATTTATTTAATTAAACAAAAATGTTCATCAAATCCAAAATGTAGTTTGAACCAAAAAGTAAAGAATTTTCTTTTGCTAATTTGTCCCAATAAAAGAAAGTTTCATTAAATATGGAAGATATTCGATTGTATGAAGTAAATAGTTTTCCATTCTTAATTTATTTAATTAAAAAAAATGTTCATCAAATCCAAATTATGTTTGCCCACAAGAAGTAAATAGTTTTCCGTTTTTAGTTTGTCACAAATTAAGTCCGAAATACATTTGATTAGAGCCAATAAAAACTTTAATATTTCTAATTTAGTCCATCAAGAAATGTATGTCAAAGTTGAAGTGTATCATCTTCACAAAACAAATAATTTAATTGAATATATAGTATCTAATCTCCAATTATTTATACTTTAGAAGCCCTGCAATGGAAGATTTTATTTTAATTCTACTAATGCCACGAATGGACCTACCCACATATCCAAATATTCACATTTTTTTTTTTACAATAATATCCATTAATTCATATTGATTTTCAACTAAAAGAGCCTTTGTGGTGTTCTATTTCTGAAACGATTTGTTGGTGTATAGACTCTTTTAATCAAATATATAATATATATTTTTATCCATATTTATATTAATTCTTTAATTTGAATGCTTTATTATCAACTTACTTGTCATTCTCCGATATGAAATACAGAAGAGTTTCAGAAAGTCCCATGCATTTGTGTGAAATTCGGCGTTTAGTGTAAACTTGGGTTTATGCATATATAACTAAGGTATATATACATAATGAACCGGTTTCTTTTTATTATTGTGTGAGTAACTTAAATCGAAAAAAATTGTTTTTGAAAAGTTTTAATCAAAGAATAAAATAATTATTAACTAAACTTACGTTTATTTGGTTGTAATATTCTTCAGCTTCGCGCTCAAGGCGTTCGACGGTCTCAACGCGTTGCTCCACTCTTTCCATTACCATCCAAATAAATTCTATTGGCCGATATATGCTCTTAAATATCTTTGTGATTGGCTCTACGATAAACACCTTTAATGTCAAAATAGCCAACTCTGCGAAATAGGTAAATTATTATATATTATTACTTATTGCCTCATGTAGGTTCTATAAAAGCGAAGTTGCTACCTTTCAACGCACTAAAAAAGTACTTTTTAGGTTGGGTTAATTTTATAATTTCGGTTAAGCGTTCCTCTGTAAAGATCGGCCGACTTGCAGGAATAATCCTCAAACTTCCAGCATCACCAGATAGTTCCCTATGCATAGGAAAGGTTTGGCGATGTGGCTTCTCTTTAGTATCAATGTCACTCGCACCCCACATTCTATCAAATTGCTCAATTCAAAATTTGGTAAAAATGGTTCAAGATTACTTAAATTTTAGTCAGTCCAAAAAGCTGTTAAATTTTGTAATTCTTGAAACGGATATCGCATTTATCAACAAAATAAAAAATATTAACTGAAATAAAAATTTTATATCAATATTCTACAATATAAATTAATATAAGATTACTTTGTTTAAACAGAAAACATAATTTAAACATATACAGGGTGATCAAACCAGTATATAATACATCCTTGTGAAGAAATACCTTAATTGGTCGTACTGCAGGGACTTCCAGCATTTTAAATGTGGGGACTTTTTGTTCGTAGGCATGTATGACTCAATTGAATTGTGCATGAATCGGGCATGCAAATAGTACGGTCCATTTGTATCAGAAGAAGATTTTTCCTGTAGATTCGATACCCAAAAAAACCCACTACAGTTAACGTTCATCAAGAGAAAATTCATAGGAAGAATGTAACTTTAGATTGTAGTTTATTTCAGATCGAGCTATAAATAATGATTAAATAATAGAAAATATATACGTCAGATATGATGAGTTGTTCAGGTGTTGTAGTTGTAATTTTCTTGAGTGATTTAATGAGAAATACTTCATTTTTTCGTCGATATATAGTTGTTTTATATAAATAAATTTTTTGCTTTATGTGATAGTTAATTTTGTTCTTTTAAATCTGCAACCTGTTCTTTGTTAGACATATCGATCTGTAGCAGAAGAGATTGCATTTGAGTTACTATAGCGTTTGAGAGAAAAATGTTTGTTTCAAGAAATACGTATTCGGATTTCGTGTCCTTAGCAAACTTCCTATGAATAAATAAGCATTTTTACTTTTGACTTTGTGTAGTTGTTAACTTAACATTCAATCTTCATCCTGTTGGACTAGAGGTCTTTAACTGCAAGAAAGATATGGTACAAAGATTGAGAGCTTTCTTCTTGATTATGTTAGTTATTCATAATAAACCTCCTGTGTTCGGTCGCCTCATCCCACTTTGGTCAAATATTTTGTTGTTATTTTTTTATTTGCATTTTTATTGATATTAATAGAAGTTAGACTTGAATCCTCTGAGTAATGAATGGAGAAGATTTCCACAAAATTGAGGAAACTTCATTCCAGTAATCAGGAGATAGATATGTGAATAGATAGGCTTGATATTAATTAAAACTTTTAATAAATTTTATCACAATTACTAGTGGTGAAATAGATCAGTGGAAGCAAAAATTTTGTATTTTTCATTAGTTTTTATTAAGTTTTAATTTATTGGATCCTTTATTTTATTTTATTTTATTTTTTGACTTACAATAATTTTTCAAATCTTAAAATTAATTTATTATTTATTTTCTGTTTTGAAATACAAAAAAAAGGTTTAATTACAATAATGATATAGATTTATAAGATGTATGGTGAAATAAATATACGATATATTTAAATTCGCTTTAGATTTCTGGGTGCCAGGACATACTTTCGTACGCGGAAACGAATACGAAAATAAACTAGCCAAGGGTGGAACAGCCATACCGATAATGGAGGAAATACATTGCAAGAAGTACAGTGTAGATTTTAATATCGCTTCTGCTAAGGTCAAGGATAGCATCAACTGTGATGTGTTTAGGATCAATGAATCTTTTTGACTGTCGCATGCCAGTTGGGCTCTCCAGTGTAAAAGTAGATGTTATTTGTGAAGCTCTTTGTTACGCCGTAGAAGGGCTCTGGACCAATGAAAGGAGTACATGCACCCTTTTTTGCCAAAGTCGAATAATTTTTTTTAAATCGTAGATCAGGATATCGGTATAGGCTTTTTGTATAGATTCTGTGTTAAAACCACTTTCCTTGTCGCATGGCGTGAAATAATGTCAGTAGTGTTAGTAGCTGAGCTTATAAGTGTATGTGAATGCCAATAGATTGGTGTTTCTACATAAATATCTATTTTTTAATAAATCCTTTTTACTTTCTCGAACAGGGTGCGAAGTATACAATATTTCTTTAAGTAAAGTTTTAACACAGAAAGTGAAAATTAACAATAATTTCAAAGGAAATGTGAATTAACAAATTTTTATTTATTTAAGTATCCTGCAGAATTTATTATTTATATCTGGATATGTAAGTCTGTTTGTGAAAACTTTTAAGGACATTGTCATCTTGAATAAATAAGAGAATGGCAAACAAGTTAACGCCAAGGTGTGCAAACTACAACTACAAAAGTAAACGTAAAGTTTTTAATTCCCTCGTTCGAAATGCAGAAGGATAAGACAAAGGACTTTTCCAGCTTTGCTTATAATTTTTTTGCAGTTTTCTTACATGATTTTGTGCTCATAGTCGTTGTTGGTTTTACTTCAGTTTTGTCTACTTTCAAACAATATCGACCTGATATATTACTTCGGATTAATGTGCACAGCGGTCGGGGTACGGGTGATGTGCGGTAGAGTACCTTGTTAACATTGTTTCGTTATTTGTTGATCTTTAGCTGAGTACACTTGTACACATGCAGGGAAGTAAGTTGAAGCAGAGGTGGTGCGGAGTCGGTGTAGAGTTGAAGTTTTGTAAATCATTTGAGACCCAAGTTAAACAGAACTGCCAAAGAATTTTTCACTCTGAGCAATTTTCTGCAAAGCTGAACGATATGCGGAAAACACATTCGTCCAAAGGGAATCGAATTTAAACAATAGCTGCTATAATGAAAAAGGAAAACTTACGAGAAATTGAAAAAATTGTTAACAATAGCGCTGCATTGCGACGAATTGATATTGTAAGGATACATGCAGGATGTCAAAATTTTCTTGCTACTTTTTTGCTCTTAGTGATTATAGTGTAAAGTGCTGTTAAAGTTTAGTTCAAATAGCAGCTATATAATTCAAAGTTAAGTACGAGACATTATTTGCTTAAAGAACTTTCAAACAATCCAACAAAAAAATTTAATTCGTAAAACTATCCCTTAAAAAAACAGAAAATAACTTCAAAGACTTTTTAAGACTTTAGTGAAATAAAATTAATTGAAAATGTTATAAGATTAGTGACATTTTTTCGTATCAATTTAATTAAGTAAAAAAACAACATTAAGTCTGGTTGAAACAAACTTAATGCATCAATTTTAAAATATTTACGAAAACTGGCAAACTTACCAACATCGCGTTATAGAATCTCAGAATGGTTACAGGCTCCTCGGGGAGGTATGCAGATCTGAGTTCTATTAATGCTCAGTTTGATGAAGTAATAAACAATAACCCAGTCATGACGTAGAGACGGGTTTTGAAGAAACCTCACAATTAATAGAGAGTAAAAGTCTTCAAGTGCACTGGCTCAAATAACTTTAACATAATCAACTATATATTTTTAACATTGTATAACCTCTTTATGAAATATACTAAGTTTCTATTAGTCATAATAGTCATCTGTGTGAAAAATTTGACGTTAAATTTCAACTTATATTCACAAAATATTTGTCTCGTGCGACTCGTGGAGTAACTGTAACTTGACTTTCTTAACATTACTTTCCTAGATTAAGTTCTACACATAAGAAAAAATAAATCATGCAACAAATAATGCCTCTACAAACAGAATAGTATTAAAATTTAACAATTAAAAATAAAAATATAATTAATTAATTCAATTATTCTAAAGCTGGTTTATGTTTTCGTACTAATATAAACACAACAAATAAATTTGTTAATGAAAGTTTCACAGCAAATTAACAAAACTCCAGAAAAATGTGCACACATAAAGTCAAGTACAGCATTGAGTCAGTTGGTTAAGAAGCTCTGACTCTGAGCTTCAAATTTGACAGGACACGAGTTCAACCCTTAGTACTTGCAGTCTCAAAAAAGAAAAATTATTTACGAAAACTTAAATACAAGAATTGTTTTCAAGACCACTGAAGATGGATATTTGGCAATACTCGAAACAGCTGTATGGTCAGCCAAAAATACAATGAATTAAAATAATATAAAAACAAATTTTTGTTGTTGTTCTTCACTACTGTTCGAAAAAACCCCTTTATTTTTAACACATGTTTTTGTTGTGTTGTATACAATATGAGATGTGAAAAATTGTAAACACTAAAAATTAATTAATTTAATTAAAAGAAAACAAAATAAATATTAGAAAGGCAATGGTAAGCAGTTATCTTTTATATAAATTCAAAGTTGCTGCTGCCGAACGGATTTATACCTGCAACGCAATGTTAATGATGTGATAGATTTCACATTGCAGTGGAAGTTAAAAATATTTCCTTTCATACAATCACCCACTGTTTAAAGTAGTTATAATCTCTTCATCTACTTGCGCCACACCCATGCTTTCTACCTTAACCTAGCCCACTAGGTATTAGGCCTCTTGTTCATAACTCTCTCTCCTATCTTTCCACTCATTACTGAAATGAAGGTTCCACATTGCTGTGGCCAACTTCTCCATTCATTTTTAAGAGGTGATTTTAGTGGCTTCAAGTCTTAACCTTTGAGTTTTGATGTTTTCCATGTACTGCGAATTTCATTGATTGACAGTTTGAACCTCAGTTACGACAACAGTGACTATTTTACTTAATCGAAACTATTGTATTAAACAGAGAGGTTTCGAACAATACTGAATTGCAACAACAAAAATTAACTTACAATTCGTTAAACTTGAGTTTCCAAATAAACCTGTAGTTTATAAGTTCATTCTAATTTAAAGCATGGCAAGTGCTTTAGTTAGTGTCACTTAAGAAAAAAAAACAAAAAATGTGGAAAAACACAATTAGTCATCGCTTTTAATTTGACAGGCACGAGTTCTAAGCCTGGCACTTGCAGTCCAAACAAATTATATACGGACTATAAACTAATTAAAAAGAAATTCGAATATTTCCTAAGATCACTGATGTTGAGTACTTGGCAATGCACAAAACAGCGTTGTGTGGTCACAGCCCAACTTCAAGAAATTAACTACATTTTTTGTTGCTGACTTTTCATTACTATTCGAACTCTTCTAACTTTTAAATAGTTTCGTTTCGTTGTAAGACGCGTCATTTTCGACAAAAAAAATTAATATTGAAACACAAAACTTTTTATTTATTTTTAATTAATTGAATTAAATTCGGAATTTGACTA